AAAAGACACCATAACATCGTCATCATCAAGCTGCTGCGTACGGACTTCGGTTACAAAATCGCGAGAGTTTCTAACGGACCTAGAGTTGTCCTCAGTTAACGGCTTCAGCACTTCAACCAAGAACTTCGACAGGTTGTAAGTTGGTGAACCTACAAAAGACACGATAGGACGGAGAGGGCAGCCCTCTTTATGCACCTTAGGTAGCCCGTAGATGGTTGGAGTGGCTCCGTCCGAAGAAAACAGTCGGCGGTACAACGTTTGATCCAAACGTCCCTTGTTACGCAGTACCCGTAAATGTTCAACGAGCTGGCGCTCTGACTTTGCTGTCGGGTCACGGTTCAGCTTCATAAAATGCGAGGGATCGTTCAAGATGCTGTACATTTTCTCCTCATAATCCTTTCGATCTAGCAACACTGTAGCCTTTCTCTTATCTGCCGAAAGGATAACGATAGATTTATCTGATTTGAGATCATTTAGCGCCGTGCGTTCCCCAGCGGTAAGGTTCGTCCGAGTGCTTTTTGCATTCGCCAGGACACTTACAATTCGGCTACGAGCCAAGTTTACCCCAGTTGTATCCTGGATATGCCGCAACTTCTCCTCAACCTCCACGATGATATCACGTTTGGGCACTTTCCGTGGGGCAATTGCGAAATTCAGGCCCTTCGACAATAAGCTCATGTGGTTGTCCGATAGACGTTTCGAGGAAAAGTTATGCACTGCCTCTAAACTATCCTGTTCTGGCCGATGGCGAGGTAACAACCGGGACAACTTCTGGCGATGGACTTCGGTGCACTTGCCTCTTTCCAAATCTTCAGCTTGTTTGCGCGCCCTGATGATGTCGTGGAAATCATTGGGACGAAGCCTAGAGCGGAGACAGGTTTCCGCCGCGTACATGAGTCACGGCGAATGAACCAGGACTCCACGAATTTTTTTTGCCCCCACCTTTGTTCTCGGGCCAGCGTCGTCGCATTGTCCAGGTCGAAACTGTGTCCTGTCGTCCAGCAGTGTTCGACAAGTTCCGTCTTGGACCGCGTGGCATGGGTGGCCTTCGCAACGTCCCTTTGGTGTTCTTTCAATCTCGTTGCCAGAATACAGGTTAACAAGCCAGAATACAGGATAACAAGCCAGAATACAGGATAACAAGCAAGAAATACAGCAAGTAAGACGTCGTGTGTACGCGGCGGAAACCTGTCTCCGCTCTAGGCTTCGTCCCAATGATTTCCACGACATCATCAGGGCGCGCAAACAAGCTGAAGATTTGGAAAGAGGCAAGTGCACCGAAGTCCATCGCCAGAAGTTGTCCCGGTTGTTACCTCGCCATCGGCCAGAACAGGATAGTTTAGAGGCAGTGCATAACTTTTCCTCGAAACGTCTATCGGACAACCACATGAGCTTATTGTCGAAGGGCCTGAATTTCGCAATTGCCCCACGGAAAGTGCCCAAACGTGATATCATCGTGGAGGTTGAGGAGAAGTTGCGGCATATCCAGGATACAACTGGGGTAAACTTGGCTCGTAGCCGAATTGTAAGTGTCCTGGCGAATGCAAAAAGCACTCGGACTAATCTTACCGCTGGGGAACGCACGGCGCTAAATGATCTCAAATCAGATAAATCTATCGTTATCCTTTCGGCAGATAAGAGAAAGGCTACAGTGTTGCTAGATCGAAAGGATTATGAGGAGAAAATGTACAGCATCTTGAACGATCCCTCGCATTTTATGAAGCTGAACCGTGACCCGACAGCAAAGTCAGAGCGCCAGCTCGTTGAACATTTACGGGTACTGCGTAACAAGGGACGTTTGGATCAAACGTTGTACCGCCGACTGTTTTCTTCGGACGGAGCCACTCCAACCATCTACGGGCTACCTAAGGTGCATAAAGAGGGCTGCCCTCTCCGTCATATCGTGTCTTTTGTAGGTTCACCAACTTACAACCTGTCGAAGTTCTTGGTTGAAGTGCTGAAGCCGTTAACTGAGGACAACTCTAGGTCCGTTAGAAACTCTCGCGATTTTGTAACCGAAGTCCGTACGCAGCAGCTTGATGATGACGATGTTATGGTGTCTTTTGATGTTATCTCATTGTTTACAAATGTCCCCATTGGCCTGGCTATCGATTATGTAGAGGCGCGTTTGAAAGAAGATTGTAATTTGGAGAGTCGTACGTCCTTACTTGTGGAGGATATTATAATTTTGTTGCGGTTTTGCCTGAATCAAACGTACTTCAGTTTCGCCAACACGATTTACCATCAAATCGAAGGGTGCCCTATGGGAAGTCCTATTTCTGTTACCGTAGCAAACTTAATGATGGAGCACGTCGAAACACGGGTGCTAAACTCAGTACCCTTTCCGGTGAAAATGTACTGTAGGTACGTAGATGACACTTTTGTAATTTTGAAAAGAATTAACCTAGATGCTTTCCACGTGGCGCTGAACAGCGTACACCACGCCATTCAGTTCACGTACGAAACAGAGACAGATAATGTGTTGCCTTTTTTGGATGTGTTGGTACGCCGGGCCAGTAATGGCAGTGTGGAAACGACGGTGTACCGTAAGCAGTGTGACACCGGAAATTTTTTGTCCTTTGACTCGCATCACCCGACCGAACACAAACGGTCCGTTGTAAGAACCTTTTTATCAGGTTGTGATGCAGTGTGCTCTAACAAGCAGCTACGGTTGCAAGAGGTAGAAAATGTGGTTGGTGCGTTAGAGCGGCGCCATTATCCGAGGACGTTTATTAACGATACGCAGAGGCGAATGCAGAGGGGAAGGGGGAGTGAGTCTCGAGTGCGGGCAACGTCTATTGTATCTATTCCCTATGTCCAGGGCGTGTCAGATGCTGTTCGGAGAGCTTTGCGCCCGCTGGGCGTACAAACTGTTTTTAAACCACATTATACCTTAGCGAATGTGTTCCCGAAACCGAAGGACCGCACCTCTGCAGACGGTCAGAGGGGGGTCGTATACAAAGTGCAGTGCGGGGATTGTGACGCGACCTACATCGGCGAAACGGGCAGAAAGAGGGCAACGAGATTGAAAGAACACCAAAGGGACGTTGCCAAGGCCACCCATGCCACGCGGTCCAAGACGGAACTTGTCGAACACTGCTGGACGACAGGACACAGTTTCGACCTGGACAATGCGACGACGCTGGCCCGAGAACAAAGGTGGGGGCCAAGAAAATTCGTCGAGTCCTGGTTCATTCGCCGTGACTCATCGGTGTGCAACACCAACCGTGGCCCCCTGCCGGACGTTTACGGGGACGTGTGTGATAAGTAGACTGGTCGACCTCACCTCATTTGTGTCAGTGTATACTGAAGCTGCCACCTGCATAGGTGGCGAAACGTCTGTACCTTTTGTTATTAATTTGTTATGTTAAGTCGGAGTAAACCTTTTCAATCATGAATTCACCCGGCTTTTGGAACATTTTTGCATAACATATTTTATTTAGCAGACACCTTAATCATACCGCTTTGGTAAAACATCGACACAGCGCTGTCTGTTTACTTTGTCCGCCTTGATCCAATAAATATTCATTAAACTATTTCAGCTGTACAATTACTTGGGATTCAGCCGGGTTACGTTGAAGATAGGGAGTTTTTATGAGTTACTCACAGGCAGGTTACAAATAGAGAACTCTACACAATTTTTTTATTGAGCATCTGGTTCACACATGGCGCTAAAAAGACAAAAAAAAATGATGGCAAATTGCTAGGTAACACGTCATTGCTAGGTAATACGCACGCGTGAAACTTTCTACCATCACATACTCTTAGCTATAGTCAGAGCTTCCAGAAGCCAGACGCCACCGTTCACGGCACTCTTCATACAAGAGGTTAATGCGTACCATGTGTACACTTGATGATTGGCCTTGGAATAAAGCGACACTACCGCTAATTGGGCTGTTAAACCTGGTGATCTTCCAGATCCTCCCATACTCTCAAGCTCTTCTCCCTCAGTGGGCACAAATGGTCTACTCCTCCTCGCCGACACTTCTGGCAACATCACCTCCCCGTTAACTACTCAGCGTCGAGCAGCTCACTCCTCCTCTGCCACCCGTGAACCAATCAGTGTCGAGCCTCGAGGTCAGGCTTTTATTTGAGCTTCGCGAAATGACGAACAGCTAGCTAAAAAACGCTTCACGTTAAAAACAAAAAAAAAAAAAAAAACCGCGTGGTTCAGTAATTGCGATTGGATAATTGCTTGTTTTCCTCATGCATGCTTTCCAGTCCAAGCCATAACTGTAGAAGCCGCTCTTGAAATAAACACGAGATGCAGACTATTAGAAATACTTTTGTTTATAGAAAAAATCGTAAGGGTGCAGGCGAGCTGGTGTCCTGTCTATTTTCTGTCCCTTCTACGCTTTGATGCTTCTTCTCTACCCCAGTCTCAGGTTATTTCAACATGGTTACTTTTGTTTGTTTAATATATGCTTTACTAGATCCCTTCAGTTCGCTTCACAAGGAATTAGTGCCATGCTTTTTATCTAATTATTTCAATACATGTAGCATCATTTAATTTGTAAAACGAATTATTGGTGAAGGATAAACTATAAAGACACGAAGGGGTTAATTCAGCGCTTATGCTGGTCGGCTGCTTCGCGTAACTAGAAACCAAAGGAGCAAAGGCATGATATGCTAACAAATTACGTGCAGCTTTCCTAAAATTATATACTTCCTGAAAATGTTTATGGTTATATCACTGTGGTTTCACAGCAAAATAGGTTGCTCGAAATATTTTTAACTATTTCACAATAATGCTATTTGGTGAACTCTAGAACTGCAAACCTAGAGTAAAAGCTGATCCAGAGAAGTACAAATGGGGCGAGGATAGACTGCCTTATGATAGGATCCTATTTCACAATGATATAAAACAATTTTACACATGCCGATGGCTGCTTTTATATGTTTATTATTTACCTCGGAGTAGTGCTTACATGAACGAGAGCGTTAATGTAAACCATGAAGGGCTAAGGAAGGCCAGCCCCACTTATCCAACTCTTGTGTTATTAAATCTTCTTTGGCTTCTTGTTCTTCTTTGTTTTTGCGTCCTTGGTCTTTTTACTCTTCTTCGTTTCCTTGTTTTTAGATTGAGTGTTTTTATTTTTAGAAGACTTCCTCTTTTTCTTTGTTTTTGGTATTTCTGTCACCACATCATCCCCAGGCGAAGGAGCGTTAGTCTCAATAAGATAGCAGGATCCGTCTTTGCACCTCCCATCTTTTTCGGAGAGATACTGAAAAAGAATGTAGAAACATGACTGTGTCCATAGGACGGTGCAAATCATATATGCAATCTCCTAAAGTTGTATTTTTTTTCAAAACGTTCGCGGTCAACATTTCGGTTAAAGTAATTTACATTTGAATGAACATTGAACTTTGAACGTAATATGATTTGGCATGAATTCATTTAGCCAGGTCCCTAATAGTAGTCGAAAACTATTAAAAAACATTTTCTCGCTCAAGGGCTCTCGTTATGAAATATAAAGATTATGCATAAGAAGGAAGTCCCGTGATTGACTGCTTTATCTTTCAAAATGTAAAGGACGATGAGTGTATAGCTGGCACAAAGAACTCTTTTCAGTGGCTTACCACAACGAAGGCACCCACCATCTCGGAACAGCGTAAAATGGTTCTTGCGCTTGCTTACGGAAGCTGGCGAGGTTTTTGCTTACTTAAATTAATGCGCCCATCAATAAATGTAAGAATACGCACACGCAAGACATCTACCATTAAAATAATATTTCCTTATACCTTATGTTACCCTTTAATTCAAATTTTTGTTGTTACAAAGTTGACTACGGGGGGACAAACCAGCTTCATGACGCGTTCACATAAAAGGTTTTTCAGGTCTCTTTTAGAACAAATTCCGCTTACCAACTAAGTGAATTTTATGGATTGACGGAACTTCGGACTCTCAATACAGAAGGAAAATAAAATATGTAAAAATAAGCAAGTTCGTTAGGTTAACATAATTAAACAAGTATTAAAATTTTTCGTACATTACATAATTCACCGTCCGGTAAATGATCCTGCTCCCATTCACCATTATCTTTCTTGCAGTAGAAGTTGCAGCTTGTTATCTGAAACACGAAAAAATATTTTTGCTTATGTTTACAGGGCTCTGCGCAGTGAGAATGGGTTCAGTGCAGTTCGAGTGAAAAATGGCTTCGACATTTTTAAATAACACTCAATATATATATTTCTTTCGATAGGAAGAGATTGCCTATTTATGGTATCAATTAATACGAATAAACAGTTGAATATGCTAAACTTGCATGTGCAATCTGCCAATATAGTTTTGCCTCCTACAGCGCCACCGCTTTAACCTATTCTAAGCTTAGATAGAAAGAATGGGCTTTTTTGAGCAGTTTGAGCGAAATATTATTAAAAATTAACGCGAAAGCAAAGAGTCAGTTAGAGCGAGTTAGTGACTGACGTCCATTTTGCCGAACGTTTCCTTTTTTACAATTTAATTGAGACAAAATAAATAAAATGATCGGTTCTTGTTTCTTAGCGAAATATATTGCTGGCTTATTAGTGTACCACTTCACTGCCACGCAACGTTTTTTATTCCCCCCCTCCCCCCCCCCCCCCCCCCCCCCCCCCCGCGGCTCTGCTAGATATGTGACGTTTACATCAAAGGCCCCAACACAATGCGGCTTACTGAATGAACATGTACATTGCTTCATTTATCGCCCTGCGCTACATGTCGGCGGAAACTTGGTATCGGGAGCGTCGTCATAAAGATCCAACGTCAGACAACGAGACTATCTGCTGGGTTCCTTTGTGGGCTGACGATGCTTTGTTTCCTTTCACCAGTCTTTGTAACCTAACACGTTGTCTAAATATCACGTACCGAACAATTTGTTTTCTAAATTATTTAGCAGCAGTCGAAAATATTTTCGTAACCTCTTTATAAGACGCGCGTAACAAAGCAAAAGAAGGGGTAGCACTAGAGAAGTAAAGAGCGGCCTACGCGGATCACAACATTTAGCAATAAGTGAGAATAAAAACAAGATGGTATTTGGAAATTACAACAATATTTTATGGTTGTGCGGAAAAGGACGTTGGGTGGTGCATTCAACATAAACACAAAAACATGTACTTGAGACCATTCTTTATTAAGACGTTGTGCTCGCGACAAGTGCCACTAGAAAAGGTACGTAAGCACGTGTATAAGCAAATAATTAAACCCATGTGTTTTTTTCCAGAATTCTTAATTTTCTACGTACTAAGTAAAACAGAAACAAAAATTGACTTGTGTGTAATGTGTGATTTAAAAATTTTTTGAGAAAAAACACACAAGAATGTTGCGACGATTTTGGCTTATTTCGGTTTAAATATAATATATTAAAATATTTTGCCTCACAAATGTAAAGTGAAATAATTGTATAAACTCTTTCTCACATCTGAAGTCCTCTCACACGCAGATTTAACCTCCTCCACAAGGAACACGCCGACTGAAATAGATAAGGTAGGTATATGAGTGTTAGCTGAGGTACAAAAAGAGACAGGTTTTAATAAACCTTAAAAGGATATTTTTAAAACATTTCGTCATTGAGTAACACTGTAATCAATCATAATTTGTTTGTGTGTTATGATTGACACTTACTGGCCGCGATATTTGAGAGCGTGGTTTGTAGAGCATGCTTATAACTAGCTGCCATTTATCGCCTCCCAAGAAGAACGATCTTGTTTGGGTGTAATGCACTCCCAATCGAATTTATTGTTTTTAGCGGATAATAAACGACAGCTACCTCTGAGCATGCACCGTGAACATAGGGCTTTAATATGGCGGCCAGTGAATATCACCTATATATTGTAAAGGATACTTGAATACCGAAAAACACTGGTCGTAAACTCGGTCGAAGGTCAATAAACAGAAGTAAAAAATCGTGACAATTTGAGTGTTATATACACTCCTAATACTTAGAACACGTTTTGAAACAATGAGTTGCCCCACCTCAGTCCCGAGAAGACTAACCGGCGCTAAAATAATTTTTTTTAACGTATCATATGTAGCACATTTCTTTTTAAATAGGTCGATGGAATGAACTGGATGGATATGACGTCGACATTATTTTTTAAATATATTAAGCAAGCATTCGTGAATAGTGCATCTACGGAACCTTTTTACCATACTCGGTTGTGTTCAAATATTATATCTACAGCGATAAATATATCCGTAAACAAACTGGGAGACAGGGCACGGAGCATTTAATGTAAGTTGCTTAATATTTTGGGGAACATTCTTATCTTCTTTTGTTCATTAAAGTTTAAATGTAACGATGATATCCAAAGGGAAAATAATCATTTAAGAACATTTTACGGTTATGAGGTATTAACAATGCGTGGCTTTTTGAAATATCACAATCAATTAGTGATGTGATAACTCATCTCATAAAAGTTCCTCGAGGACTCGTTCAATGCCACATGAGCACTGGGTACATAGGGAGCAGCAGAGCATAATACGCCACGGGACAAGTTGAAACTCTAGTAAGAGACCGCCAAATAAACGCCGGGCGTTGTGAGTACCAAGCATGTTCTTGTCACTCAGCAGGTAATACGATTTCGGCATCAGTAGATAAGAACGGCGAAGAACAATTCACAAAGCAAGAAGCGTGATCATAATATGGCACGCCCTACGTTTCCTAAGTTATTTCAAAAATACGTTTTAATACTTAATCAATTGACGATTGAACAGAGTGGCATAGTGAACCTTTTGCAAATAGAAAGGTATTAAATATTTCTAGAAGCCGTTGGAGTTAAAGTGAGACAAACAATTTTGGCAGAGACGCTTATGACCGCTTGCGTGTAGGAATTCGAAAGCACTCCTACACGCAGCGCGTTCCTAGAAGCAGCGCGCCACGTGTTCCTATCGCACACGGCGCTGCGGCGGTACATTACGCTCCCCCACTGCGCATGCGCGGCGAACCTTGCTGGCTCCACGACGGCTTCCGTGACGAGGCACCTGCGTTTTTGTGCTTTTCTTTGCGTTTTATTTCCGAGGCGCATCCACTTTGACCTCGAGCGGCCGCGCCGGCTTCCGTGTCAAAGCATCTGGTCTGACCAGACTTGGACGTAGTTCAACTACTCTACTCAAACTACTGCAGTTTAACTACTTTTTCGAGTAACTAGGTAACTTTCAATTACAACTTGATTTGGGTAATTAGTAGTTTAATTTAACTACTTTTTTCAGGTAACTTCTACTCAAATTACTAACTACTTTCGAAATTATATAGTGCTAATTTTGCCCATCACGAAAGTTTGAGCGCAGAAATGAATAAGACGCCGGCAGATGAAGTGGCATTCCCGAAAAAAGGGCCCCCTTGTTCGGGAAGGCGTCCTTGGGCCAAGGTGGCGACGAGCAGCCAAAACATAACACCGGCGCGCACGAACGCAGGAAGAGATGCTTAACAAGCCTTGGTCGGGTATTGACCTAATCCGGTAGTGCACGCAGGCGCCGCGTTTCCAGCTGCAACCGTGAAAGACGGGGACACTCTGAGGGTTGTCGTTGTTTTCGTGTTGCCTGTCTTTAGTGAGTTCTGACTCAAGCGGTAGGTTCCACGGGAGGCGCCACTGGAATGACCTCGCAGCTGGGCGCCTTGTCGTCAGCGCATACGCCTTTGCAAAGCCGGACTCCCCCGCGCACAAACCCTGGTACGGATAATCCGTTCATGGGAGCACGTTCCCACTTCCAGCTGCAACTGTATACGAGCGACGATGCTTGTTCACGTAATCCTTCGCGTCCTTCCGACCATCTATGCCTGGGAGACCTCCTCTTTGTTAAAAACGATTCAGGCGTGTCAGAATATTGTAGTCGCCGGTGAGGATTGCGAGTTACCCTTGGAGATCCTTTTGTTGGACCCGGCGTCAGCGGCGAAGTATACTTCGGTTCATCTTCTGTTAAACCAAAACAATCTTTTTTTTTTTTTTTCAGTAGCGTAGCACTAGCACTACAATGGGACGCGCAGTCGTCCGGATGATCTCATCGTCGTGGCGCAAGACTTGAACCCTTGACGGTCTGGTGCACTCGCTCAGCGTATACTCTATAACGACGTCGGAATAAAAAGGGGCCAGTCATAACAATCTCAACTTGACGAAAAAAAAAAGAAAAAAAAGAAGGAGAGTTTGTTTTAAAAGACCCTCTACCCGAGGCAAACCTCACATGTTTCGTCATGGACACCTAAGATGCCGACACTCGCTTACCCGACCCTGCACAGCCTGTTTTTCAAATTCAACGCTACCGTTCCATCCAGCCCGTCGGTGGAACGTCTATTTAGCTTGGCTGGGGACGTCCTTAGAAGGAAAGGGGGAAAACTCTCCTATCAACAACTTTGAAAGTCAATTGCTTCTGCGAGCGAATAAACTATTTTTGCGAAAACGCAAGCCATAAATAGATTGAATTTATTTTAGGCTCGCAGGGTTTTTCATTGATCAAAACTGCTGTTCATTTTGCTACCACAAAAACAGAGAAAAGTAACTTCGAAAATAACTTCAAAGTACTCGCTACTTTTTACAGTAGTTAGTAGTTTACTCAATTACTATTACGAATGCGTAATTTCTACTCTACTCCAATTACTTTCGGCGTCGACACTCAGTAACTTAACTTAACTACCTTTTTTGAGTAATTTGTACATGTCTGGATCTGACGCGTCGCAGCTGATTTAGGTGCCGTTTTTCGCAAATACGGGTTTTTTGGTGCAGTTTCTCGGGCGGTTACGGGTTTTTAGGTGCCGTTTTTTTGCGGTTACAAACGCCGCCGGCTCTATTCCATGGGAAAATTAATAGTTTCGAATTAATAAATTGCTCGGCTAGTTGGTTAAGGATCCTGTGATACAATAGCGCAAGAGAATAGGAACATGAAAGGGACAGGATAAGAAAAGCGCGTGCCTGTCCTTTTCAAGTTCCGGTCCTCCTGCCTTCTTGTATATATGATACGTAATGAGGCTACTAATTTGCGCTAGTTTCAAAGACAATGGGTGATATAAATTAAATTTGCTGCACTCCTGCCCTAACAAGAATGGGGTATTGGTCAAACGTACGGATATATTGTCGGGACAAAAAGAGAGAACCTATTGCTACCCTAAAGGGCAATATTTGCTTTGTCAGCAAGTAACCAGCTGCATGGTTCTGCAGTCACTGACAGCTTAAGAAACGAAAAGCGTGGCGAGTCCTGCACATCTTATTAGGAATTTCTAAAAACCGCTTTCGCGGCCCATCGCGCCGTATCGGATGTGCGAAAACGGTTCCGTAATACTCCCTAATGTCACTCTGGAGCCAATGAGACTACGGTATTAGCAAGTAGAAAAAATTAAAATAAAGAATTCTGAATTAAAAAGTACGAACATACTAAATCATGCCCTGCGTTTATCAGCTGTCTGTAACTATAATATTTTCAGAGGGCGTCTCTTTGTTCGGTAGTAAAACGCCCAGTTTACACGTTAACCAAGTAATATGCAACACCCGTGAGCTAAAATGAATTAAAGGAGTTACGCGTCCGTACTTTCTCTAATCTGAAATCAGGCTCATGACAGCACAAACTACAACAGCTCCTCGCGTTTACCTTAGTGGACATAGTAATTAAAACGTTGAAAGAAACATAATCAGTCAAAGAGTGAACGGTGATAATTTGTCGAATTAATTTTTCAGGTGAGCATCAGCATGAGCAGACGGGGCTACGTGTAATCGATCTTAAGATTCAGTGCTAAAACAGGACCGCATCCTTGCTAATAAAGTAAACAAATGCGATGAATTTTTACTGGATCTAGACTCCGCGACAACTTTTCTTGGCAATGCAGTGGAAGGTAGAGGCCCGCGTCCCCTCTCCCATTTTGAGTGTACGCAGGCTCTCCTCCTCCCCGATTTCTGGGGAGAGGAGGAGAGCCCGCGTACACTCAAAGTGGGAGAGGGGACGCGGGCCTGTACCTTCCACTGCATTGCCAAGAAAAGTTGTCGCGGAGTATAACAATGTTATTTGTCCGATTTACAATGTTTCCTTAGAAATATATTGCGGAATTATACTATGCGGAGCGCAAGTTCGTCTGCTTCTTTTGCTGGGGTTGTGGCGACGTCAGAAAGCCGAGCTCTGATTGGCTCTGAATCAAGGATAGCGGGTAGACGTCAAGGCAGCTCGCTTGAAGATCTACCCACTAACCTTCAATCAGAGCCAATCAGACCTTGGCCTCTTTTGGACGTCACCATAACTCCTGCGCAAGAAGCAGGCGACTTGCTCTCCCCATTGCAATGATTTTGGATGTAAGAAATTTAAGGAACATGGAAGACATCATACCGAGAGCGCCTACGAGGACGATGGCCCGCATGTCCAGCGATGTTTTACTTGGCGGTTGCGGAAAAAGTACGCCTTGAACTCGTGGCCCGTGTTGAACACTTGAATGCAACGGCCGTTTTATATAGAATTTTCGGGGGTTGAATGCCCTTTGTCTAGTAAATATCGCTGCATCTTGTTTTTCTGCATTTACAGCTGCGTGAAAGGTAAAGAAAAAGATACATTTTATGTTTCTGACGCAGCTACAGCTTCTACCCGTGTAATGTCAGCTAAAACTTTTACACGGAATGACATCAGGAGACTCGTCGCGTTTATAATTTACTCCTGCCATTTACATTGCGAGAATATTTTTTTCTTCATATCTAAGTTCACAATTTAGAGAAGCATTACGGAGCAAGGATTTTTAAAACGAAAGAGCACCTCTAACCTAAAAAGGGCAAGACGATGGTCAACATAGAAGTTTACGTGGGGATTTTCATGAAAGGGCTTCGCTTCCGGAGTGTCCAGGCCACCTGTTGTGTTGGCCTTTTGTAGAAACAGCAACTAGGAGGCAACATTGTTGATAGAAGTTTTTGTACGTGCTGGTCGCATCAGGCGCAAACCATAGGTGACACTGTTTGGTAAGCTAATGGAAGCGCCCACAACGTTTCTTCTTTCTTCCTGCATTACTAAAAAGTTTACTGTCTTACAAACTCAATCAAGTAGCTTGTTTTATTGAGCTTAGACATATTCGAATATTACGAAGATTTCTGGGTTGATTCGCATTATATCATGCAGCAAGTATTCAGTACATTTTGTGTGAAGTATGTTGACTTTTGGTTCTAATGTTCTTTCGTACTTTTACATGGTCTCTTTCTGTTTGCTAAGTTATTATTTGCTTTTGTGAAGTGAAAGTAACACATATGTAGTTGTTTTTGGCGACATGAAATGCAAACTATTATTATAAGTATTTTTCCCAAATAACAAAACGGAACGAGTTGCATGAGTAGAAACACGTTCTGTATATGTGTGGGAAGTGATTAAAATTTGTAGATATATTTGTGGGCCCTGCACTAACCTTATTTTAGCGCCTGAAATATTTAAACAACAACTGATATATGAAGTAATAAATACAAAACAGTTTCAACTTTAAATTTGTCAGCAGAATATTAGTTATTTTATAAATAAATACGTGTACTTCTGTTGATTGTGTAGCACCCTCATTTATCTTTTGTGTTTGTGTTTGCGTAAGATCCATTGTTTCTTTGCGCTGTAACGTGTAATAAAACAAAGTTTTAGTTTGCGAAGGTACGTACGTACCCCATTTGTGTTCCTAAGTCTTGGATTTTTATTACCATGAAGGTACAGAACTGTACTTCACGCTGAAAAATTTAGTTGAGAATAAAAGCAGAGAATTTCTTTCTAGTGTTCCTAATTTTTCAAAAAGGCTCCAAGCGTTGCATTCGGATGTGCATGCACATCCGAATGCGTACTGAGCCAGGCATCACCAGCCGGCTCTCGCCCAGTAACAATAAATCTATTAGTAAATATTCATGTCCTATTCGTGTGAGCACAGAGCAAACACAACAAATGAGGTCTCTGAGAGAAGAGTGAAGGCACAGGGAAGGGCTGGTGAATTGCAGACTTAGCTAATCCTGAGACACCGGAATATGGAAAGGAAAAACACAAAACAGAGGACGACACACACAACGTCGTGACGTTGTGTGTGTCACTCTTTCTTCGTGTCCTCCCTTTCCTTCTTCCGGTGGTTCAGGTTTAGTTTTGTCTACAAATGAGGTGTCGAGCTCGCTCGGAAAAGCGTTACTACTTTAACCAATTATACAAAAACTATCTGGTGCTACTAGTTTACGACCACCTCATATATATATACAATAGAAATTTATATTACTCTCGGAGCAGCACTTCATTGTACTATATGCCTTTTAATTTTTCTCAACTATGTTTTTTGAAGTGCTGTTGTATATGTTACATATGTACTCACATGCCTTGGCCCACAAAAGTAGGCCGGCATCATTATTCAAATAATAAAAAAAAATTACCGTCCAGCAGCCAACGAGACTGCGCCGTTAGCCCATATATGCACGCCAAAGAAGGAATCCCGAAGCAAGGATCGGAAGTTTATTAAGCCACTCCTTGCGTTTCTTAATTAAGCTTCCCGTGACTACAGCGAAGTCCGAGCGTAACAAAACATGCCAATGCGTAGACAGGGCAGTACGCAAACATGTATTCTTGATGATATACTGCAGAATATAAAATTCAAACCGTGCGCCGGTAATTTATCAATAAAAAACGACGAGTTTGCATAACAAACAAACGGATTGTTTCCTCACTTCATTTACTCGGGCTGTTGGTCTTTCTGGATGCCGAGTGCAACACAACATCTCAATATTTATAATGCAGACTGCTGCCATGAAAAGTAGGTTACACGACACCTGATATGCAAATTGTGTTGTATATTAAGGAGGCGAGTAATGTCATATAAACACGCGTTAAATTTTCGGAACGCCTTCACATTCAATTATTTTGAAAGTCTCAGGAAACAGTGAAGTAACCTGTTGACGTCTATTCGTGGGAATTTCTGATATTGTTGGCGCTATAAAGAAGAACAGTGTGAATGCAAAAGTCTTCGACATTGAACGCGCTTTACTTTCTAGATGTCGCGTGAAAGGACGCCGTTTAAATGTGATGCTAATCAACTCCTTGTTTAAGTCTCTGTCGGAAAGGTTTTTTTTTTTTAATAGTGGCGTTTCGCACAATTTGACTACATGATTTTATTATATAAGGTTCATGTTGGTCAACAATATTTTGCAATGTTTATATTCTTTAATTTAAACTAATTGCATGTCCTTCAGTAAAGATGTGCTAGGTGTATTTGTTAGTGTTACACGTAAACCCATCAAAATTGCGCTTGATTGATTTTAATTCTCTTTCATATATGGGGAAATGGCGCAAGTATTATATAATATTTGAGCAGCCCCTAACTTTATTTTACCTGAAACAGCAGCGAAGCAGACGCTACGATTCAGTATATCTATCAAACATTGATATTAGTTTAAATTCACAGAGATAATGATCGTACTCTGCTCGTGGTAGTGCCGGCTTAATCATCACAAGTTATGACATTGAGCTATTAGTACACGTGTTCGTTTTTTTAATATGGTAGTTGTGTGATGCTGAAAACTCCAACGAGCTTGAGCTATAGCCGCTATTTTGCCCCTTCTTTTTCTGGATGAGGATAATACCGCCGAGTTATTACTTCTTGGGACACGTTCAAGGCCCAGGTTAGCAGCCGTAGTGCACTGGCTTAATTTCTCATCTACAGCGTGTACCAGTGTCGCCATATCACAAATGGAGACCACTTTTATACTGTCTGTAATATGCACGTTCAATATGCTTTTCTCTCCTGCTTATTGCTCTGATACTTCACTTAACTCTGACAAATTGTATGTTGTACTGCGTATCAAAATTAAGATGCTGCAGAATCACTGCACTTTTAAGCAAAAATACGCACAAGAAGCAATCATTTTGTGCGAAACAACGATTCGGTTGACTTTTTAACTCTACTTTGCTACATTACTCAAACGTAAATATCGAGCATTTTTTTGGCGTCACCAATGAAAAATACCTTTGGTGGGGGATCATTGTGATGGTTGATGCACCACGAAGACAAAGAAGAAAAAACGTGGGAGAAAAGAGATACGAAAAAATGGCGCGGTTTATCGAAAGGGCTCGAGAAGGGCGCGAGCGCAGCTGGGACTCGGGAGGCCAAGCTGCGAAAAGCTGTTCGGAAGTCCGTCGACGTGACCAGGTGTCAGAGGCCCGACTCTGTCACCGCCTCCTCTCGGGATCCAGGCGCTTGCCTGAGGCCGACTGGACTACCTGAGGCGCTGAGGACAACTCCAGCGACCGGGTTCATTGACATCCCCGGGAACCAGACGCTCCAGGCTCATAACAACTGCCGCCGAGCCCATCAAAGACGAGCCCTACCTCATCATTCTTCGGCTCCACTCCTCAATGTGACCAGGACAAAAATGTGGGAAAGACAACTCTTAGAATGACGTTCTTTAAGGTAGCCACGTTGTAAATATTTTTTTCTTCTGATGTCTATATTGCTATAGTGAAATATTCCCAAACACACCCTGTGCCGTCCGCACGTCTTAACACCTTAATCTCACGAACCGTACGACAACGATCACGGTAACAATAGGCCTACCGTTAGGCCTAACGTCAGGCAAGCGCATACCCGCGTGCCCCATCCCACTGCCCCGCCAGCATTTCGGCTGGCTTCTTAGCAAAGATAGCGCCGTTGCTATGGAGCTACGTGACGCGTCGCAGCCAAAGGGAATTCTGGTGCCGTTTAGCTTAGCCAATCAGAATTTAAGTATCGTTTTTCGCTGCTACAGTCAACGCCGGCTTCGCTCCATGAGACAGGTAATGCTTTCGAATTAAAGTGAGCAGCGTTCACACCCTTAACTCGCCGCCAGAACAGGAGGCCACGTGATCTGGAGCCGATTAGATGACGCAAATGTTGGTCATAGCCACGTGCTGAGGTTGGCAAAGCACAGGACACGCGCTGAGTTCCAGACATTGTTAGGGTTCGGCTATTGTCGTCGGTGCCGCGAATGGACATGGGCCAATACCCGAATGGTTGTCGAGCTATCGATTATCGCGAGCCCAAATCGAGTGCTCGCGACATGCTCGGGTCCAATCTATTAGCCGCATTGAAATACCGTCAACAGGGGATACGCTATATCATCAAGTTTTTCGAAGGAGCGATTGAAAGGAAACGCTTGCTTTTATCAATTGAGATTACACCGCAATGAAAACGTTTCATGGTCAGTGGCGTTGGGTTCGAGTATACTTGGGTGCCACTAGTACGAGCTAATTCGTGTAAAGCGAGAATCATTCCAATCGAATATCGTTGCATCGCTCCTTTAATCCAGAGTATAGTAAGCGCCACTAATGTGATCTAAATTTATTTAGTACATATTTTTTTTTAAATTTTATTAGTACTTATAATGACAATTATGAAGA